ACCGTTGTGCTTAGACCACCTAAACCGATAGGCACATATTTCTAAAATAAAGACGCAATTCCAAAATTGCTACAGTCAGGCGTAATTTATGGATTACAGTGTAATGATTGTGATAGTACATATGCTGGAAAAACGGTAAGACAAACATGTCGTCGTTTAGTCGAACACGGTGCACCTAAAAGTCTTACAGAATCTTCTATATTGACTTGATATGAATAAAAAATTTGTAAATTTATGGAGTATATGAGTGATTTTGATAAAAACTAGGAAGTAAGCTTACTTTTGGGAAAGATTTTTGAAATTTTTTCTGTTTAGAACAGATACACTCAGGTCTTCTCTTGGTGAAGACATGAACTCTCTAGCTCTTTTTGTTCTCGACTTATTCAAAAACTATTGACCGCACTAGATCTTTTCGATAACAGTGAAAGAGAAGAAACAGGTGTAGAGGTACACTAGGAATTTTGGCTTATTCGCGCGTGTTATGTTAAAGTAACAGAAGAAACAGGAAAAAACCTGTTACAATAATAAAAAAACAGGTTACGGGACAAAGGCGGCTAACCGATTCGCCATGATTGACCACCTATATTCTGTAAGTTTTGTTCTGCCTTAGATGACTCTTTGGTGTGATGGAACGTGGCTGATTTCTAGTGATATCCACCTTCGAACTACAGGAAAAGGTTTGCCTAGCTTTTCTTTCTCGGCATCAGTAGATATTTCGGCCATCTTTCTGAATGTTCTTCTGGCCATGTTCTCAACGCACTCACTCATTTTCTGATTCCTCATGCTCAACCACCTACTCCGTTTCATTTTCATCCAATCAAGTTTTGCTCTACTAGTTTGTGTGTCGGACATAGGCATTTTAACTCGATAAAACCTTTTCCTTTAGAGTCAAGAGAATATCTGTTTCATATACATGCTGTGATGTATACTCTTCGACCGATGAAGGAAAAAGAACGAAGGAAACGTGACATCATTCTACACAGATAAAGTCTTAATATATATGTTATATATATACGTCAAAACATAACTGATTACGCACAGTGTAGCGTGAGCACACATTATGTATAACGTGAATAAGAAGAGAAAATAGAAAAGAAAATTGCTATTTGTCGCAGCTGTAATAATGTGAATTACAAGAAGTATCATTTCTTCCTTCATTCACTTGCTGTTTGAACACTCTCTTTCGCAATCTGTCTCACGTAGATCATTACACAATCATTTCATTGAGTATGCAGAAAAATGTTATCTCGTTTAAGTTTTTCATCTTTGTTTCATCCAATTGTTTCACTTGTTCTTGTATACATCCATCGTTTTAACAGAGTGAAACAATTGGATGTTGAACCACATGTTAATACAAAATATTTTCTATTTTTCTACTGGATTTAATTTGATCAAAGAAGAAGATGCTCATCCTCTACAGCGATAGACAGATGAGGGCGGACATCTACTACATAAGGATTATCTCCAGTCCTATCATTGTTCGGACCCACGAAGAGTCGCGTATTCGATACCACACTGTGTATGTCTTGAGATGAGATATCTTCAGTGTCGTGCTTGGATAACGCGTCAATATTTGCTGTACAGAACTATACAATATTACTGAAAACAACGGCGGTATATTTATTTTGAGTATCTACAAAAAAAGAACATTCAGCTCATCCTCTAATATTGCCCAAAAATAAGGGTTGTGATCCAAGAGCACAAGGAACACGTAGAGAAGGCAGCATTAAGAAACAAACATATGCAAGGTTTTTGTAGATTATTCGTTATTATGTGCTCTCGAGCATCAAGGGTACAGCACCTTTGAGTAGTTATTTACTTATAATGATAGCTTTATCTTCCATATACGCAGTGTTTTACAAGGCTATTTATATTTTTGAATAGAATTTAGCACAGACTGAGTGTATGTGTTCGCTGCTGTCTCAACACGTTCCTTAAAGATCTTTAAGGTATTTAAGCTGCAAAAACCAGACATATAGACATTTCAGCAATTATCATTTCATACATGTGGTTAAAAAAAAGACAGTCAGATAAGAAATGTATAGCTTTATTAGTAGTAAAATCAGGTATGTATTGACAACAGTGAAGCCACCAGTGAAAACGTGGCTGGGATGTGACTGATTTATAATCCTTCTAAGAATGGTCACTTTGAAATTGAGACAACATAGCCGAATTCTTGCCAAGGCGAATAAAAAGTATCCAGTATTGAGCAATCCTGTCTACGTAATCTAAGCCAATCCCATCTAGATACAGGTAAAAACAAAGTATTGAGTATTGCGCAATCCAAGTTACCTAACCCAATACAGTAGTCAATATACTTTGATAACCCAATACCATACCCAATATGTTATCCGATATATCGACGGTCGGATTATTCGCTTTTTTATTTTGCAGCCACAGCACTTATATATGTAACACATATACTCCATAAATTTACAAACTTTTTATTCATATCAAGTCAATATATTGAGCAATAACAGACCAATATATTATAGAAAGCAGGATGTCTGCCTACAGACATCCTGGGGTGCAATGTAAACAGCATCCTTCATGCTGTCAGTACATGAGTCGATATATTGGGTTATAATAGACCATTATATCGGGTCATTGCCCAATATAACAATAAAATATCTAGATAGTTTCATGTATGATTTTCTGCCTGAGTGAATAAAATCAGTATGCATTTTTGATTCTCGAAGTAACATCAACGCTTATCAGCTTAGAACCAGAACAGATAATTTCGGAGATTTAATTTAATATGGTCTGACGCTCTCTTAACTTTTGCAGATGTTTGGCTAAGTCTTCGTATACTTGAGTTGCTGTGAAAATTTGTTGCTTGTTGTTAGTTGTTATGGTACCCATTTGCTGTAAACGTACGCACAAACATATTATAATCGATCTAAACATTTTTGTTTTTTTGAATCTTGCAATGGTTTGCTTATATTTTCATCCAGTGAATTCATACAATCGATGAATTCGAATCCTTGCGGTTTGTCCAGCTGACGGCCTCCATTTTTTTCTCTTTTTCAAAAGTTATTGCAATAAAGCCACAAACTAATCTAAAATGGCAACTAGATGATTAAGTAGATTAAAACATTTCTCTACAACATGAAAAGTGTCTCGACTCCGAACGTTGATTCGTTATGAAAATACAGCTGTTGTACAAACAGCGTCTGAAAAACGTGTCTAAAAGAATGAAGACGAGCTGACAAAAATTGACCAAGTATACCGCTTTGTAGAAAATTGTTTGCCCGACAAGATGTGATAGCTTTTCAAATTCGAAACTATTCTAATTAATCTGCATTAATCAAAGAAAATCAGAAAAACCGTGATGCTGTGACAAAAAACGGTCAAAAGTGTCACGGTTTTTCTTTGATTAATACAGATTATTTGGAATAGTTTCGAACTTAGAAACCTATCATATCTTGTAGAGCAAACAATTTCCTACAAACTGGTATACTTGTTCAAGTTTCGCCTGGTCGTCTTCACTCTTCCCAACACGTTTTACAGATAGCTCCAACATCAACTTTTTAGGCTGTTTGTACAAAAGCTGTATTTTCATAATGAATCAACGTTCAGAGCCGAGATACTTTTTACTTTGTAGAGAAATGTTTAATCTACTTCATTATCCAGTTGCCATTTTAGATTAGTTTGTAGCTTTATTTCAATAACTTTTTTAAAAAGGAAGAAAAAATGGAGGCCGTTAGCTGGACATGCCGCTTGATGAACAGTAAATAAATGCTCACGTGAACATGCGAAAAAAGGTTGAAGTTGACTTCGCTTCGTCTTTAGATTTGTGTATATTTTGCTCAACAAACTTTTAAACGTAGCAGTCAACTTTGTTTGTTTTTATTTATCTGTAATAATCTATTTTCAAAATGTTAATGATGGGAAATGGAAAAGACGATGATTCTATTTATCCGTTTATGGCCGGCGAGCAAGTGCTTGGTAAATATTCTTACTTCAACTGCTGGTCAAAAATGGAGACAATATTGATTTTATCAAATATTCGTATATTAACACGATATCGTCAACGTACGGGTTGCTGTGGTCATCGCTCACAATATAACAGTATTCAGTTAGATACCATATCAATGGTAGTAGAGAACCCACAAAGTGTTAGCAGCGCAGTTATTCTGGGCAATTTATTTGTGCTCATTGCTGGTTTGGTAGCGGTTGTGGCTGGTGCGATTCTTGGTGGCATCCCGAGAACGCTGCTACTTGTAATTGGTATTATTACCACGGTAGGAACGATTATCGGTTTATTGTATATGTTACTTCATAAAGTAAAATTACTCACAGTTAAAGGTGATTTTGGATCAGTTAGTTGGGTGTTGGAGAAAGATAAATCAAGAGATGTTTGTTCAAAACTACCAGAATTAATCTATCAGTTAAAAGGCCAACGATATTAAATATCAAACGGATAAATAACTCAGACTGGAATATGTACAAAATGATTTTTCTTTGTCGCGATTATTTTTCATACCAATAAACTACAAACTTTATTAATCCTTTATTCATGGATGTGATTTGAACTCTCTGCAGAATCTATATTAAAGAGGTAGAACGAACAATATTGTACTAGTTTTTGAATAGAAAATATAGAAAAAATCTTGATTGAATTTTTCTAGCTGTATGATTTTTTGTTAACATTATAATCATTTTCGTTTTCAGATCATTACATTTTAATAATTGATGATGCAACAGACAACCATTGTTCAGTCTATACCTGATGAAGATACGATCTATCCTTACTTACCAGGTGAAATATGTGTCGGTAAATACCGTTATTCTGCTTGTTGCAGTCCGTTGGAATTAATACTAATATTGACAAATTTACGTGTACTTATTCGATGGAAACAACGAATCTTTTTTTGTTCATCCCGTTCAACATATCAGCAAATATTTATAGATAAAATAACATTGATGAATGAATTTCCACAACGAAACCGTCGGCGAGACATGATCTATTTGATGTGTTCGATCATATTAGCTACTGCAGGAGTTATTGTTTCAGCCCTAGCCTTATCTGATTATAAGGCACTACAGGCGATTATTATTACAGTGTCTCTTTTACCAATAATCGGTCAAATCTCACTGCTTGTTATATTATGTTGTTTCAAAGTCAAATTTGTCCAGTTTACTGGAGATTTTGGTTCAGTTAATTTTGTATTTGATAAAAACAGCGCTCGAGAATTAGAGTCGAGATTACCAGAATTAATTTATCAAGCCAGACATAAGAGAATCCATGCAAACCCTACCAATAATGCTTTCAATGCAACAACATATCCATTTACAGTTTCTCCAGTGTCTCCTCCGGCTTATCAAACGACGGATGAAAAGAAAAATTATTCTCCCATGCAAGAGAAAAAACTACCTTATGACACAGAAGATAATAATCAACAGACTACGACCCATCGGGATAGACGAAAAAAAGGTTATCGTTCAGATAATTTTACGAGAATTGACACTGACGACAAAAGTAAGCGAAATATTCCTTCTAAGAATAGATATGACGATAAAACAACGTCAAGTGACTTCTGACTTAACAAACTTGTCTAAACTGTACATCTGTCGTTTAAATAATTAATTTTTATTAATTTGCTCTTTTTTTACAATGTACAAAAATGTGTACATCAAAAAAGAAACTGTAATACGGGCGTCGCAAATACAAAAACAGAAACTGCTTGTTATTAACGATCAGATTTTGGAGAAATTAACAGTTTTCTCGCGGTGGTATAGCTTTTATAAAATACAATCCATGTATTCCGCTGATTTGTATGCTATGGATTGTTTCGGTGTTAATCGCACCTGAAGTTCAAATAACGTAACTAGTGTATTTTTTTTAGCCTCTGCTATCTTTAAGAAAGGACGGGGACCAAAAAGGGGCAAAATCGGCCCCTTACATATAAATAATATTCTCACGGATCTGATGTATTTTGGTCTCCGATTACACCTAACATATTTTTAGATCTTAAAAAATCCTTTTCAGCGAATCTGAGAACAATTTTCGCATACAAAACTGTTCTGCCGTTAGATGGACGGTTTTCAGACTATTTTTATTATTTCATCTCATTTACTCAGAGCAACCTCAACTATTATATATCGTTCGATAGAGAATTTCACGGGCTACAAAATGCTATGAAAAATATTGAGAAGAAAATGTAAATGGGTAGCCTATCTTCCAAAATACTCTTGCGCATCTTGACAAACGAGTAGCTCTACTTGTGTTGGATGATAAAGTTTTTCTTGAGTGTATTGCTTGATCAGCATGTTAGTATTTATTCAAGTTTTATAGTCGTCGCTATTATGTGTTGGTATGGACTAGAGAGTTTCGATTGTTGTTGTCTGAATATCTCTGAGCGTCTTTGGAAAGAAAGAAAAATAATTTGTTTTATAGGAGCACTTGTTTGGACGCATAACAGAAAAAAGTTTTTTGTTTGTTTTGGTTCTATAGTATACTCTTTAGTGAATTTTAAAGATAAACGTTCATTCTCACATTAGACACTGGTTTAAGTGATCGTAATTGTTCTTGTGATGCCCGTTGGTCTAGGAGGTCTATTATTCGCTGATTAGTCCCACCGTTGTTACGTATGAATATGTTGATACGTCAGTTGAAAACGTTTATATCGCAGACAAAAGTTTGCAATAAATATTGACAGTGATAAAGGTAAGATGCGATCTAAAATTTCAAATTATTTCCGATCGTATTGAAAGAAAAACGTTTTCCTGAAAGTGTTAATTCAAAGGATAATTAGGTAGGTAAAATATCAATGATTATTTCTTTAACATTGTACACAGCGAGCCTTTTCTTGTTGGATAGTTTGAGACCCTTTATCAAATTTATTCGTTGGATAAGAATCAAAGCTGATATCCATATCTTTTGCCTAAATCCAATAAAAAACAGCTCGTTGCGTACAACGTTCATCTAATGAAACAATAGTTTTGTATGCAAAAAATTGCTCCTAGAGGCACTCAAAAAGGATCTTTTAAGGTCTACCAATATATTAGGTGTGATCGCGCATCAAACCTACGTCAGACCCATGAATATATGAGGACGGGGACGATTATTTGATGAAAACGATCCATCCTAGAACGTTATCGCCACATGAACTACTAAATGCAAAATGAACAGGAGAACATTTCTAGGCACTGAGTAGATCTCGGAATTGCTCCAAGGAAAGCTTGGATGTTCAGTCGTATGATAGACCGATTGTAATCGAGCCTTCCTTTTCGACGTCAATGGCATTGTAATAATAAAAATATGATATAGAAATATATAATCCATTAAGACAAACTGATTCCATAATTGCGCATTTTCTTCGAAAATCCTAGGTTTTAGCAAACAAAGTGTGCTCCATAGTTCACGACTCGTTACAAGCAGATAACGTTTTCACGCGTGCTAACACACCATTCTGCGATGTTTACCTGCGCTCATATTGTCTTGTAAAACACTGCGTATATGGAAGATAAAGCTATCATTATAATTCAATAACTACTCAAAGGTGCTGTACCCTTGATGCTCGAGAGCACATAATAACGAATAATCTACAAAAACCTTGCATATATTTGTTTCTTAATACTGCTTCTCTACTTGTTTCTCGAGCTCTTGGCTCACAATCCTTATTTTTGGGCAATATTAGAGGATGAGCTGAATGTTCTTTTTTTGTAGATACTCAAAGTGAATATACCGCCATTGTTTTCAGTAATATTGTATAGTTCTGTACAGCAAATATTGACGCGTTATCCAAGCACGACACTGAAGATATCTCATCTCAAGACATACACAGCGTGGTATCGAATACGCGACTCTTCGTGGGTCCGAACAATGATAGGACTGGAGATAATCTTATGTAGTACATGTCCGCCCTCATCTGTCTATCGCTATAGAGGATGAGCATCTTCTTCTTTGATCAAATTAAATCCAGTAGAAAAATAGAAAGTATTTTGTATTAACATGTGGTTCAACATCCAATTGTTTCACTCTATTAAAACGATGGATGTATACAAGAACAAATACACGAAATAAACGGGATAACATTTTTTTGCATACTGAATGAAATGATTGTGTAATGATCTACGTGAGACAGATCTCGACAGAGAGTGTTCAAACAGCAAGTGAATGAAGGAAGAAATGATACTTCTTGTAATTCACATTATTGCAGCTGCGATAAATAGCAATTTTCTTTTCTATTTTCTCTTCTTATTCACGTTATACATAATGTGTGCTCACGCTACACTGTGCGTAATCAGTTATGTTTTGACGTATATATATAACATATATATTAAGACTTTATCTGTGTAGAATGATGTCACGTTTCCTTCGTTCTTTTTCCTTCATCGGTCGAAGAGTATACATCACAGCATGTATATGAAACAGATATTCTCTTGACTCTAAAGGAAAGGGTTTTATCGAGTTAAAATGCCCAAAATGCCTGTATGTTTGTATGTTCGCAGACTAGATACTAGCGACACACAAACTAGTAGAGCAAAACTTGATTGGATGAAATTAACCAAGCCGAAAGTAACCGGGCAGGCTCACAAAAGTCAGTTTTGCCAAAATCTCCACTGGGAACTGCTCGCGTCTAGCCTAAAGAAAGCGTTTTGTAAAACTCTGAGGCGGACATTCGACAGAGCTCGAAAATTTGTCTATGAGAACTAATTTTTAAGGGTTACAATGTGGCTCGGTGGCAAACATTATAAAATATGCCACAAAAGGACATTTGTTGGGATTTCATAATTGCAGTAGAACGGTCGAAAAGTAAGGAAATATCAACTGCACTTACTCTGCAGTATAAAATTTGTCGAGACTTCGTGTTCTGGAGAATGTTGGTGAAGGAAATAGTCGAGTAATTGATATTAATCAGTATGATTAACTGAAATTGTGTTTAGCTGTTTGAATAGCTAAATTTCTTAAGAGTATTTAAAATGGAAGACTCCTCACAAATCTTTTGTGTTTGTCTCCTTCGCTACTCTTTACGTCGTTATTTGTTCGTTTACTCACTTGGCAAATTGACCGTTGAATAATGTTCATGTAAATAGTAGTGTATCTTCATCGATTTAATTCAATACTGTGTGATAATCAAACAACATTTATTGCATTTCATTAGTACCATCTATTTTGCAACAACCTTGAAATACACATACAAAAACAGAAACGTACAAACATGTGTGTTATTACCATTGAAAATTAGCCGTGGTATAGGATAAGAAATTCTAAAATATTTATATTAGAAAGGACAGAACTAAAAGAGTAGTGACATTAAACGAACGTCTTAGTTTGTTTTTTGTATTATAATAACATAGTTTCATTACTGTTGATGTTTTCTTCTACGGGTGGGACAGTTCCAGTTCCTATAGTTCCTGAGAACTAGTCGAAAGAACTGGTCACCAGTTCAGTTCCTGTTGAACGGGAACTGGTTACCAGTTCTTTTCAAGAATTCAAAATAAAATAAAACCAATATAGCTAGTTATACTGACTTGGTTTAGTCGACTAAACACACTATCTACCTCTAGTGCACTACACAAAATCAATGTAAGTAGATTTACCGGTTTTATTTCAATTTTAATTTTTTGAGAAAAACTGTTAACCAGTTCTCGTTCAAAAGAACTGAACTGTTCCACCCCTATTTTCATTGGAAATAAAATCACTTCAGTATGACACATCAAACTTACAGCAACGTCGAGTCTAAAACAAGACACATTACACAAAGCAAACAAAGATTCTAAATTAATTATGAAAAAACTGATTTACTTATCTGAAAATCAGAGTAATTGTTCGCTTTTCATGAAAGTAGCTATTATGTGGCTTTCTAAAACGAAAGAATGCAAAAAAGCAAAGCCAATTTTTTTGTTTTCCTAGATGCCCAGCCGGCGTCTTTATATGTCTATTTTCATGACGCGATTAATCAATTAATCAGCCAATAAGTAAGTGCGAATAATCATGTCACTCGTTAACATGAAAACAACAAAAATACATCTCTTGTATTTAAGCAAAGATATTCTCTTACCGTCAGTCTTACCATCCTATATAAAAAAATGTTTTTTTATGTGTTTGTTTGATCAAAAACTAAACGATTGTTTAAAATTATTCCATAGGAACGTCGAAACTTTGGAACTAATCTTAATTATACAGGCATACTCTAAGTTCGTTAAACGAATTACCATAGATCGACAATTGCTACATTAACGAACCGTATGTGTTTTACTCCCCCATTAATGATTTATCCTCAATTAAATAACAAAATACTTCTACCAATATTATAAAACTTATTCAGGACTCTCACACACATATGGTTGTAATGATTATCATTACTATTAAATACACACAAAAAATTTTCTTTTTATGATATTTTGTTTAGCAACCTTTAATAAATACGAGAAACGAGGAATAGAATTAAAAGTGTATAAATCAGAGCTGATCTATTCACATTATAAGCTAATGTACGCTTTGCCATTTGAAAATAATTCAAATCTAACCAAAAATTATTTTCAAATTTATGTCGTTGTTGTTACATTGCTATTATTTGTATGAGATGAATTAC